GTCTATCATCGCTCACAGACAGATGTAAGAACGTGCAAAGGGATACGACACTGGAAACAAATAAATTTTGGCCTTCTCCGCTTCCTTTTGAAACGACTATGACGTTGACTAACGTAATTAATATTGCTTCATTCACCTTTCGATAAACATGGCAACTTTTGAGAAACTTCAGAACATGTTAGATCGACGCGGTCGCCTACACGTGTACGGTAGAAATTTTAGGAGGGACTCTAGATAGTGTACTCGATCTTAGATCCTCTCCAGCAGGAGGAAACGATGTGAGCGTGACATACCCCTAGATGTATAGGGTAGAGGGGACCGAATCATGGATCGAAAATTTATTGGACAAGTTCGTGTGTTTTAATGTACTAATTATACTGTGGTAGGTCTAGCCCTTATGGTATAGCAATTGTTTGTACACGGTTTGATGTATTTTGCCATTCATTAAATGTTTCTGCGCTGTCTTGGAATGGTGGCGGTCCATTATTTATTTATATATTTATGCCTTATCAATATTACCAAATATCAATACCTGCTCTCTTATTTTTCCAACAAACGCAAAAAATGTAATCTCTGTAACTTGTAACTTTTTAATAATCTAACCAGAGCACTTCGTCATATAACGGAATAGTGGTATGAGGTGAATAGCAGTCTTCTCAGATTCGTTCAGTAAATTTCGGATATTAGAACCGACATACCAGGCCTAAATTTTCAACATTTAAAGATGTAACATGTATAAAACACGTTAGGTTTGTGTCGCTAATTTCGTACGAGATGCGTGACGCTTGGCATAACACTGGGCCAGTCCCGGAGCCTGAACATTCTAGCACAGATGTTATAATGAATTCCAAATCACATGCTAAAATAGTATGAGCGAACTCTGATCTATACTTCATCGAGAGCTATTTTCTTTTTTATGTTTGCTACAAACTGGATACGTGCGTCCAAAGTGTGATTGAGCCAACTTCGCCTTTCAATAATATACCCTTTACGAAAATAAGCCTTAACCGTGCGCTGCTGTACTATTCTGCTACCAACATTAAATACAATTTTTATGAACGGCTTAAAGTTAGGGGAACGCTTTAATCATCATTGTTATGGGAGCTAAAGTGCCGCCTGGACAGATTAAAATTAGAATATAAAGCGGTAATATTATGTTTTTTTTTTCTTATTTTACTGCTTCTCATTCTCGATAGTCGAAAACTCTTTGTTTGTTCGACCAGAAGTCGTTGCTTAGCTTTGTCTAACAAGTTGATTTAGTGCAAAAACCGTGTTTCAATACCGAGTCTAGCGTATCGTTGTCCGGATTATATGTCGATGTTCCTGTTCGGTTTTGGGCTCTAGAGATGGTATACTGGGTGAAAGAGAAGTTAAATTCCCACCTTAACTTTTTGTTTTTGTAACGAAACTCCGTAGCCAGCATCTTACCAGTATACATGTACCGTGCCTGTAAGTTTATAATCATAAATAGTGTCCTATCTATCAGTGATCCACCATCATGCAAGGCGATCCTTCCTGAAATCAAAAACGCCGGAGAACAGCGTGCTTTAGATCGAGAATAGAGTTTTTGAATTTGCCAAATCAATTTTCGAATAGTATAATTAGTTATGATGCGGTCATTTTATACGTTAACTTATTGCAAGCACTTTCGGTAGCTTCTTAACATAGGTTAACAATGAGAAAAAAAAAAACGCTATAAGTGATGCTTCTTATCGGTTGACATACTTTTTCAAATTGTCGAAGTTATTGTTGAAATTTGTAACCCGAATAAAACGATGATGACGCACCTGTAGAGCGCGAACAAATTTTCCAGCCGTATGTAAGGCTGGATATATAGGCGACACCTTAGTAAAGGGAAGTAGTAGATCAAAATGGCCGTAACTGATGTGACCTCCTAATACGTAGATCCTAAGGCTGGAATTATATTTTAAACGAATTCATAATAACGGTGTTGTAACCTGACGTGTTTCAACTCTACCGTTTGCTTGCGCCAATAAGGTATGAACTTGGTGTTTGTCTGATATTTTGGGCCGGTGGCATTTTATTCTCCGTGAGACATGCGTGAGAAACTCAGTGGGTCTGCTAACTTGGGCCAGGCCCATCTACTGTCGCTAAATATATTATCACAGTGTACATCTGGAACGTACAATAAACGAGACATCGTTACGTTGTATTGACTGATATTATGAGTACTGTGTACTTCTTCAATAGATAAAATAGGTAGAACTGTTTTTTATAGAAATTTCGAGATTCTTGCTACCCTCTACAGACACAGGCCATCCAACGGGCTCCTCTCTATCTATGGCTGATATTACACTTAAACTCATAGTCGAGTATATCAATAATGCGTTATATAGTAATGAGGATTGTTCTTATGAAGCTCAATTGTGGTCTAGATAACCGAGTTTGAAGCCATAATTTGAACTAAACAATACGTGATGTATATCAGATGTAGTTTTTCTTTTGTCTTCAAATAGCCTATACTTAGCAAAGGCTTTCGGCTAGAGTTTTTACGTAATAAATAAAACTGAACGCAAGCTTAATCTGTTTATATCTACAAAATGGCGTCTATCAGTCCGCTATCCGGGTAAATTTTTTTCTCTTTCTGAAATTCATACACGTATATTTTCGTGGGAAGCCTTCTAATGCATAAAGGCAACAACATTGCTAAGATGCTGTTTCAACTTGAATACATCTTCTAGAAAGTACGCTAAGCTCGCTCATTCAGTGACGTACTGTCTCCGTTCTGTATGCTTGGTCACCACTATCAAACGCTGAATTCGAGCATCGATACACCGGAAATATCGAGAAAGCAAGGTGCGTGCAGGGTTCGCTACGTCGTCGTAAGGCACCGCGCAAATGACCTTGAAGGCCAATCGTAAAGTTGTATCAATTTCGGGTATCTACATTTCCAGTATTTGAGGGCTTGTTTTATTTGGCCTAACTAATAATAGTTAGCATACCAGTACGGAACAGAGTGGTAAATATTTGCCCAATATTCACCTACGGAGAAAAAGGCCCTTGACATTGCCTGCGTCGGTCCATTACCCCTTAGTACTGCACTATCGTTGTCGTCGAGAATCATGTACAGGCAAAAGCAGTCACAGTAAAAGGAAGTTAGCTCAAGCAAGCTATACGGGGTATGTTTGTCCAACGGTACGTTATTTAGCGTATCTTGTAGCGAAATCCCTGTTTCGGTACGTCTCAACACTGAATTGAAAAAAAAAAAAGTCAGTCATATGTTGTTTTTTCACCCTTTGAGAAGGTGGTAGACGTCAGAGATATTTCTTTTTATTATTTTTAGTTGTATTATTAGGGTGTTTTATCTTCGGGGGCAGAAAACGGGGTCTGTTGGTGGGTCGTACGTGTTACCACGTACGCAAACCAAGTCGGTCAGCCTTTGGCCAGCATCGAATAGACAGGCATAAATCAGAAACGGAATTCACTATGAGAACGACACATCCCGCCAACTGAGGTGCATTTATCGAAGGCATGTACGTCACATAGGTTAAATGAAATTAACTATTGGGCGCACTAGTTTGTATGCTTATGTTACATGGAATACTTAACACTCCAAATCAAGCCGTGGATCTATTTGTAAATTATTCATCGTACCATCTGCTATAACAGCAGAGAACAGTATCAGAGCAACTGAGTGTAAGCGTTTTTGGCGGAAATAGAGATTATTATCATAACTGGGTGCTATTGCTTTTCCAAAAGCCTGCAATAAATATATGTTCAGTCAGGACTAATAATAGATCTTGATTATATATAAATCGTATTTATATAGTAATCATAATAACGTTATAGATAGGATATTTTTACTCTTAATTAAATTGTGAAGAGACATTTCTTCAAAACGTCAACTGATACTTATTTTTTAAGTACGCAACTAAAAGAGAGAAAGAACGTATTCAATGAAGTCGACAGGGGTGTCTACAATAAGTGGCTACCATACGTGAAATGCTTTAGCTGATGGGCGGTAATTCAGCTGACGCATCATTCATTATAGTCTTTTATTTAAGCAAAATTTTGACTGTTTTCTTTTTGGATAATTTTTTTAAATATCTGAATATTTGTAATATTCCAAATATTACTGTTGGAAGAGCAATGAAATATGATTGTTTAATCATTCTTTAACGAATTAGGTTTTTTGCCCATCGAACTACCGTTATTTAGTCATCATAATTTTCACGCAATGACGATTGATGCAGCATAATCCTCGGCTTTCATCGTGTGAATTATAGGATAATGCGATTCATAGTAGTATCCTTGTAGTCGAAATTTCGATCATTGATTATGTAACCCAGTTTGGAGGTATTTACTTATCCACCGGAGAGCTCCTTTTCGAAGCTAGTCACTAGTCGTGCATTGAAACCGCGACAATCCATAATTACTATCGACAGACAGCGGCGTTAGCTGACGAAGCTGCTCAGTCACCTATCGCCCATTGTCTATCCTATATTATTTTGCGCAAGGCCAACTATTTTCCATTTAGCATTTGCGGCAGTAGCACTAAACTTTTAAGCGATATGTTCGCTTGCCGCTACGTGCTTTGTCGTGCTGCTAAATACAGCAGGTGCGCAACCCACGAGCTAATCAATTCGTCATGTTTTTTTATATGGCCAATACGCATCAGGTCGGTTTGTGAATAGAATTGTTCGTTCTGTCGCAGGTTCGGCTTAAAACATTGCTCGTCCTGCATGTAGTCTTGCGTATACATACAGACGGTAGCAGGCATCACTTGAAGGTCCGGCTAATAAAAACAGGTAGAAGAAAATGTTTTCCTATACCGTTTCGTTAGGTAGTTTTCGTTAGCTTCTTGTTGGTCGAATCGGTCGGTGTCTGTTTATCAACTACAGTATAATGCGGTAGGCTACCGCCACGCTTGAAGTACATAATGATAGTACATAGGTGAGGTCGACCAGCGCCCAACGCTCAATTCGGCGACGTTCATTACAACGGCCTTGCTGATAGACCTTACACAATTATTATTCTAGTTGTTTCAAGTGCATTGCAGAACCTGCGACGCGTTCAGCGCCATCTTTGGTTCCACCCGCCGCTCGTGAGCAGGCCGGCCGGCCGGCCGGCGGCTGCCGCAACAAATTACGTCAACGCGACTTGTATTGACTCGCCTTTTCGCGCATCGTCGTCGTCTTTGCCGTCTTCAATATTTACTGTAACTCCTGTTAGTTTGCCTGTACTATCACCACCGCCATTCCTCCTGCTGCTTCGGCCGTGGTTGAGGAGGCGCTCGCAAGCGAGAAAGGGTGGCCGGCGAGCGCTAAGCGGTCGTTGGTCAGGTAGCAATCGCTGGGTGGCGGTAAGGTAAAGGTAGGCGAAAGAAACAACGGAAGAAAGAAAGGCAGGGAGGCAAGCAGCCTTCCTACCAACTAACCAGCATGCGCAAGTCGACGCGTCACCGTTACGTCGAGGTCGGCAAAAGGGGCCAACGCCACATGATGCTCGTCATGGAGGATGCACCCAGACGCGTAAAGATCAAGAAGCGGCCCTCAAATCAGTGGAAGGATAATCCCTCCATCGTTGTCGAGGAAAGCTCTGATCAGGACGAACAGGGAGGAATAGGCACCTCAAAACGTGAGTATCACCATTACTAACCCATCAACCAAGAAAACAACCGATACTGATGACTAGCAGTCAATCATTTCCTTTAGCATATGCCCACTGCCACCTCAAATGCCTTATTACCATCCTGCCGTCAAGTTCAGACAGGCACACATTCAGTATCCCATCATTTGTCGACATATCTGTCCGCATAGCACAGAGTAACGTCTCCTAAAAATCTACTCTTTTTACTACATGCAAAAAGCCAGCACCACGAGGAGTCCTGTAATCAGGCGCAATGCCCGACCAGTCGTCGTGGTGGCAGAGGTTTCAGGCGGCCATTGAAAAAGAAGTGTTCCTCATTTTTCTGTTCAACTCAAACATGCTTGTTAAAGGTGAGGGCGGAGATTACCTGTACGAGGATAAGAACCGTGATGATGGTGATCAGGTTTCGGACCACGAAGGTGACGACGCGTCGGATAAGTCGCAGTCCGAGAGCGAAGAGAAGGATAAGGACGAGATCGGTAAAGACAAACATGACGAGGAACGTTTCTACTCAAAAACCTTCCTCGAGTTGGCGACCAAGTCCGCTCTGAAAAAATCCGATGTCGGATTGACCAAGGACAACGACGATGGAAAATACGCGGCGGAACTTGACGCCAGTGGGCTGCTAAGCCTTGAAGAACACTTACTGTTAATGGAAGGACGGCTGATCGAAGATATTTCGAACATCGTTCGCGAGGAACTAGCTGAATTCAAGCGACTGTTCGTAAGTTGAGCGTGCGCCCTGTAGTGCTTTCTACTTTGTAATTTTATAACCTTATCTAAGTAAAATTTAATTTTGCACCCTATATGCACTATGTAGATTGTATTAATCTCCATCCAAACATGTTGATGTATTACTATTTCTGCCAGTAATCTTCTAATTACGCATATGCATGTACATGTACAAAATGTACGTGTTGTACGAGGGTGTGGCCGTACCTTCCAATACTTTCAAGTGTTCATTTATTTAATAATCAGTTTCAAACCGCTGATTTAAACGCGTCCAATCAGGGCCATTCTAATGCGTGGAACAGAACGGGGACCAATCAGGTCAGTTAACCTAATGTGTGTCCGTTTGTTAACGATCAAAACATTTGTTTTTTCTATTTCACCTAACTCTACTTTGTGCACCATATAGGCTTTGTGTGTTTGTTTCTCTATTCGGTATGTTTTATTCGTACGCACTAGCTTCATATTGCCTCAAATCATATCGCCCAGCAAATTGATTCCGTGATGCGAGTATGTCGCTATATTTGTGCTACACTTTCACAAACCACCCCTAAGATCGCCAAACTAAGATACTTCAATGAGGCTGATCATTAGCCGACGTCAAGCAACGCTACTCTGCGATGAAGATGGCCACGCCAAAAGAGCCGACGATCGAATCGTAGATCATCGGCCTGCTGTACCGTGTTATTAGCGGACAAATTGAGCGAGTATTGCGGGTAGTGTGTATATGAGGCAGAGAGAAAAAAGGATGCTTTGTACATACGTGTCTGCGTATGTACGTATTTAGGAACAACCACCGACATCAATAAGGGCTACCAATAGGCACCAGAAAAGTGAGAGTGAACAGCGTTAGAAATGACTGCATGGCACGCGACGCAATGCATGTGACGCATGATCCACGCGAGATCCTCACAGTATAACACGTTAATTACTGCATGTAGTGATGTATAGGGGATTGTCTACACGCAAGAGTGCGTGGATGCTGAACAGGTTCGCTTGTCCATTCAATCGTAAGGAAATGGGAGCACTGAAGACAAGTGAAGCCTAGTGTATCAGTTTTCGGTATTCTGCCCGCTAGAAGCAAGCGTTCTTTTCTTCCAGAGTTAGCGGGATGTGGAAACGAAACAAAGGGGGGGCAAACAACAGAATAAAACGTCTGTCTTCGCAAGGAGCTCAGTAGGGTCTTCTTATTGCTAGAGATATACTAAATCACGGGTAGCCCCGGTAAGTGGCTGACCGCTCCGACAAACTTCTTTTTTCTGCCGTTTCACTTCGGCTGATAATATGTATAGATGCCATTGTTGTATAGTGTCATTTTAGATACGCGACTCGTAGATACCCTATTCTTGGATGAATTGATGAGACACCTCCATCGTGTCAGCATGCTGTGCGACATTTAGGCTGCGTGACACAATGTTACGCATTTGGCTTATGATAAAAATTGTATGACGCACACGAAAGCAGTCATCGTGACCTCGTACTAACAAAAACCTAGCAAAATTACAATAATAATAATAATAATAGAATTTTTAAATTCGGATATCCGTAAACTTAAATGATTTTAGCACATTAAACAAATCAAATGTTAGGAACTAAGCGAGAAAAATAAGGGAAAAAGAAGGTATCTTAGAGCGTACGTAAATTTCGACCACACTGGGCGTGCATTGTTGTAAGTGCCTGTCATTCCTCTAAACCAGTGACAAACGCTGATTTTTGGCCAATGTTTCGGTCATTGGAGACATTACAATTTCTGGTAATCGACGAGTACAATAGACGTTAAATAAAGCAACATGTTTTTCATTTGCGTGTGGTAAACGGCATCCAATTCTAGTCAGATTCATTTTCCTCTTTACTCAATGCTTTTCGTCATGGCTAAATTTCGAGAGAAGTAACTAGCACGTTACATTTCTAGCTGGTGAGCCCCTCCGAAAGTCCTGAGCCTGAGGAGGCTTCTAGCGAGGATTTTGCCGATATGTTCAAAACTTTCGCGAAGTTTGGCGACTCCAAAGGAGCGGGCGATTTGATGAGTCTGTCCAATTCGGATCGTTGGTGGAAACAGGCCAGGGTGATCGATGGACGTCGGCTTACCACGACGGACACGGGCATCTACTTCCGCAAAATCGCCAAGTAAGCAATTAATGAATAAGAATAGGCTTTTATTAGCTTCTGCTTAACGTCGAGTTGTAGCGCCACTTAATCTTCGTTGGATTCTGTGTAGGAAATTAGGCTATCGACGATATAGTGAAGTTGAAATAACTATAATGCATTATTTTCGAAAAAAGAAAAAAAAACTTATTCTCAGAGAACGGCATAAGTGTGAGGTGTTTCGATATCAATCTCCATATTGTATCAATACGAGAACAAAAAAGGGAGAACGAACTTATTTATGAGCGATGACGAATTTTGCTTACCTAACGTCCCAAGCCAGGTAAAATGGCGTGGTCGACAATTCAACCGCTCGAAAGGTTCAATTCTGCTTTTCGTTATTCTTATTTTGTTTTCTCTCTGTAATATTATTGCGGTATTCGTTTGAGAGATCACAATATGGCCGCCTAGTTCAGCAATGTGAATCTCTTTTATTAGATTTCCTTTTTCTAATCACTCGGCTCTGAATAAGACAGCTGACGTATCAGAGACAGTGTTAACTGCTCTTACTATGCTTTTGTTCGCCAAATATATTTACATATATTACAGCCATTGCCTATTGCATTACTACAGCAGATCACTGGTCACAGTGAAAATAAATACCGCTTATTATGTAGACTGATGCCTAACTGTATTCTACCTAAAGTGCTGCAGAGTACACACTTGCATCTTCCACAAAGCCCTTACCCTGGCACACTTGTTTCTCGTAAGTTTTGCTCGTGCGAAAAAAAAAAAAAAAAAAACGCAAAACACAAAATTCACACTTTTCATAGCACAATAACAACCCATTTGTATTAATTCGTCACGGTGCTGCTTTTGAAAAATTTTCGCTTCAAGCTTCCCGTTGCGACCAGTAACTAGCAAATCAAGAATCTACAAAAACGTTTCGTATCTCAGGTTCCCTTAGAGCAGTAGATATTCCTCATTTATTAGCAGAACTGCCCCTAGGCAGGATGAAGGCCGCTACTTAGATAAGACAAGGCACCAGTGGCACTAGAGAGGTTTATGTATCCTACAAAAACAGCCATTTCTAACGAAACCTCATGGGCTCGCAGAAACTGAAAAGAAGAAGAAACTGACTTGACGAGGAAGTATCCATAGAAATGCAGTGACCCCCTAGCCTGAGGACATGTCTATTCTAGCAAAGCTGAAAAAAGCTTCGACTTCCATGAAAGAAAACAACGAACCTTCACTCGGCTGCATAGCGACGGCCGACGCCATGCCTCAATTTCAGAGTTCCCACGCTAGCTATTATATAACGAGCTTGTTGTTTCGCCAAGCCAACATATTCGGACCGCATGACAAGTGCGGCCTGGGTGTGCCGTTAGAATGCCGGTCTGGTTGTTGAATACAATGGACAAAAATGACGCCCTACTTATCTAAGCGAAACTACGGTTTTTTTTATTTATATTATAAGCCCATTTAGATTTAAATGGGCTTATTAGTTATTATGATTAAACAGAGAGCAATTGGCCCACTAGAGCAGAAAGGGCAGTGGTGTACTGAATATCGTTATAAAGTAGTGATCAAAATCGTTGTTAGTAAAGAAATCAATGTCAAGTACATGGTGTTCAGATGAGCTGATACCGCCCTTTGGTCAAAGTAACGCAGCTAGCCGTTATTAAAAGATAGCATAATTAAAAGGTTTGTGTTAACAAATATTGTAGATCTAACTCTCGAATTGATTCAGTTTTGATGTATGAGACTGTGGCCTGCCTTTTTAGTTATAGGGGTGCCTATTTCGTATGATATTTGCCTATATATCGTCGACAGATTTTATGATAAGCCTATTTTATGACAAGCCCTAGAAAACATAAAGCAGTATTATGAATTGTTTCAATGATTGGAACAACAGCTCCATAGCTGTTAGATATCGAGTAATTAATTATACCAGAATGACCTTTATACTCTAACGTAAGTCGTATTATAAATTGCGATAAACCGTAACAAATTTCATCCGCACGACTTATTGCAACGAAATTAATGATATATATATATATATATATATATATATATATTGGTTTTTTGCCCGAGGCAGCTTAAAATAGCAAAACTTAAACAAATTCATTAATTAAGCAAACAAGCTACAAGCATTGCTGATAATGATTGAATGGTTTGTCGTGTTGGCCTTCACTTGAGCTTCACATTGATAAAATAATATCGTGCTGCGAAAAGACACTTCAAAATAGAGTAACACTTCGTTGAGAGCCTCAATATAGGTACAAGTGCAGTAAATAACAAGCGTAGTTTGGCTTCGCAGTATGGTATCCATTGAGAAGACAAAATTTTGTTTCCTTTTTTAAAGTAGCTGCAAATGCGTAGATACAAGTATAGCCGACTGAGCCAACGCGGAAGGCAAAAACAAGATAGCGTTTCCTTTCTTCTATTTGTGTAATAGGCAATTGACGGTTTCATTAATGATCTTCTATTACAATTTATCTGCACTGCTATTGAACGATTCAAACTGCGCGCCTTTGAGCTATAATTTGTTCTCAATACGTTGGTCGCCTTTAGCGACCTTGGTAATATCCCACATATTTAAGCATTTGTATTTCTAATTTAATCAGCATCGGGCAGTCGACGTGGAAGACAGCGTCTTATTTGCTTACTAGTTCCGGACAATCATTTTAAATGGCTTGCTGCAATGTTCTCCATTGTCGACAACAAAGGTCCATATTAGCTGCTTTTCCAGGCACGATCCTTTTTAAGTTTAATTCGTGTGGCACCCAAACGTCGAGCGTTTCTTTGTAGCCAGCTTTCTTCAAATCAGTTGCATGCTTAGTAATATCATGGCTACTCAAGTGCCGATCGTGTCCAAATTTCGCTACAATTTCATCAGCTTTTCCCGTAATTGGGCTAGCACTACGGAGAATATCTTTATATCGAAACGAATGCAATAGTCCCTTCTTTGCGCCATTCGTTCAGATGACACATCTTTTCTTATTGCGCTGTAGAAATCTGTACCGCCATCGTGATAAAACTGTAAAAATATTACGTTGTTACAAGTGGATTCGCCGAACTTCGAGATATAAAATACGTTTGAACTGAATAATGAGTTTTGATATGCGTCAGAGGTTCTCTTCTCCTATTTCTTCCATTCCAGGGCCCTTGCAGCTTCGGGATAGCCGTATACTTACTGTTCGCGTTCCTACATGTAATTTCTTTATCGGTAGTTTCCTGAAGTAAGTCTGTAGTTGAATGTATGTTGCTCCTTTTAGGGCATGCAAGGCCCCATAATGACACGGACATAAGTCCATAGAGTAAGTGGCTTGAACCCCGACTTGAATATTCCTTTGTTTAACACAAAAGTAACTGAGGCATGGCATTGGGATTTGGTATTCTCATCAAATAGCCACTCTGCGTGCTCACAATTGCCGTGCTGACAGTCTATGGATGTCAATTGAGGAACTCAAAATGGCAAGCTGCATTAACTGTTTCAATTTCGACGAGTATTCCATAGAAGTAAATGCCACTAATATCTATCGCAAGCCCTATTATCACCTCGTATCTGAACATACTCAATATTACCACCGAACATGAAGACGACGCCATCTCACCTGGTCCATGTCTGGCTGGCGGCAAAGACAGAATTATGCCTTGCCTATGGTGACTGTATGTTTACGAGCATTTCTAACTGGTCCAAGTCAATTCATGGGGAACCCCTTTTTTACTCATTCTCAGCATTTGGATTGTGGTTGTGCAACACATTACATGGGAAACGCCAGTTTTTTTTTCCGATAGAGCGCTTAAACTTTAAGCTCTGCCTGCGTAAAAAGCTTTCCTGGTTGCGGGAATGTGTTTTTGTCCTTCGAATATCGACACCTTCTTGCTTCATCTTAAGGCATTTGCATCATTTTTGTATCCTGTTGTCGCTTAAGGCTTCCCTACCTAACCTCTTCACCAATTTCCTATGCATTTCTGAATAGATACTGGAATAAAAACTGGGTCATTAAACATTGATTTTTGCAACTGAAAAATGTTTTACGTACCAAATAGAGGCGCGTAGTTTAAAGGCCGTTCAATTTAAAAGGTCTGCTGAATTCGGCTGTAACAACTTAATATAACCGGTCTTTACAGAAGTGTCATTTTTTTTCAAGACACTAAATCTAAATAAACCATCATTTTAGCACATCTACTTATTACGTGAGATACGTGGCTAAAGAGTTATTTAGCTAGAAAAACGGTCGACAACTTAATATCTAATATGCCATAAAAGTGCGGGTCAAAGATAATATGGTACCACAATAGTACGGAACGAACCTGCTGGTACCTTGAAAAGTCATATATATGCTCAGAGTCGTTTGGCGAAATAGCAGATTCCCAGGCAAACACAATATCGGAACGTATTCGTAAAAGTCTCATCGTTTAGACAGAATATGCATTAAAACCACACGTATTTGCTATGTCGCAGGACTCACACGATTCAAATAGCCATCTTCGTAGCTAGCAACACGTTTCTCAAACCGTCACAGCTTTAACTCTTCGGTCACAACTTTGTTGTTACGACTCATATACGACTGCATAGGCATACGATCATGTTAGAAGCGTCTGGCTATTCCAGTCGCATTTGATCACCGTAAAGAACTCACCAAGAGGATTTTGCACTTATAAATTATAACCTAATCCTTGCCATTATCTCAACAATATTAGACCCATGATTTATATAAGAGCCGAACAAGTGATCATCATCCCAAATGTATGCAGCCAGTAGAAACATGGTAGATACGCTGAAAATGGCTCAAGCGCAAGTGGCACGATGAAGATTAATGAAGCCGTTGACAAATAATCCCATGTAACCCTGTAGTCTTTTTGCCATATTGAACGAGCTTGCCAGGCGCATCTTATTCCGGCAAAGTTAGTACGAAGTAACTACATCAAATCATACAAATAGGTGTTTCTCTTACAATACATTATTATATCGTAAATGGAATTTTACGGCATACATGCTAACTGTGCAGCTTCTCGGCGCGGGCAGTAATTCC